CTCTGGGGAGGTGCTAATCTAGCCTTTGCCTGAGGCTATCCGGCAAATGGCTCTGTGCAGGGCTTGTGCGGGGCAGAGCGGGTCGCATGGGATCAACAGGGCAGGTGGAGGGAGCAGTTATGGCTGCTCTCAGTCCTGTCCCCGGAGGCTCTGCCTCTCATTTCCAGCAACCGCTGAAAACCTCGGAGAGAAAGCTGCCTTCGAGTTCCGACCGAAGCCAGACAGTCCCGCTTCTTTTGAGTCTGGGTCCCTAGAGACTCGCCCAGAACTGGAGCTCAGAGCCTGAGACTCCCTCCCGATTGAAAATGACAACCGTGCCCTCAGCCGCCAGCCCGCTCCACATGCACTCTGCACCTTAGTCTTTTACTTCAGCATTGCGCCTCCTCTGAGTCTCGGTATGCTTTTCTTTTTCCTCCTAGTTGTAGAGCTTCCACTCAGCCAGCCTTCCTGTAGTTCTGGATGATGTCCATTCCGTCTTTTAGTTGTATTTTTGAAGTGGTTGTTCGAGGCAGCAAACTCCGGCGTTAACCTATGCCGCCATCTTGGTTTCTCCCTCTCTCTCATCATTGATGTTTCAACTCTCTCTCCCTTTCCCTTCCTCTCTGATAATTAGTAAAAATATATTTTTAAAAAATCATATGTTGAGACCCAGTCTCCAAGGTAATGGTGTTTGGAAGTCAGGCCTTTGGGAGGCAATTAAGTTTAGATGAGGTCATGGGGGTAGGGCCTCATGATGGGATTAGTGAGTTTATAAGAAGAGACCAGAGAGAGCGCCCTTCTCTTTCCTCTCTGTCAGGTGAGGACATGATGAAAAGATGGCCATATGCGAACTAGGAAACAGGCTCTCACCAGACACCTGATCTGCCAGTGCCTTGATCTTGGACTTCCCAGCCTCTAGAACTGTGAGAAAAAAAGAAATGTTTGTTGTTTAAGTTAACCGGTCTATGGTAATCTGTACTAGCAGCCCAAATTGACCAAGACATGTGGACGCATCACTCCAACCTCTGCCTCTGTCATTACATGCCGTTTTCCTTGTGTATGGCTATGGGTATCTTTTTTTCTTATAAGGCACCAGTCTAAGGGCCCACCAACTCCCGTTTGACCTCATCTTAACTTGATTACATCTGCAAAGATCTTATTTTCAAGTAAGGTCATATGCATAGGTACCAGGGGTTAGGACTTGAACATATTTTTGGAAGGGACACAGTTCAACCCACACATATATGTAGAGTAGGAGGAAGAGTATTCCAGGTAGAGGGAACAGCAGGTGCAAAGGTACCTCCAGAAGGGTGCAGGTGAGTTCTGGGAAATAAATCAGCACAGCCAGTGAAGAGTGAGCATAAGGTGTGGCTGGGGTGGCTCATGCCAGGCCTCATAAGTCCAGTGGAGTGGTTAGGCTTGGCTGGGCTACAACTAGAGATATACCCCCAGGCTTAGTAGCTTGACAGTACAGATTCCTTTCTTGCTCATGGCAAGTGTGACATGGGTTAAACAGCTCTCCATAATGTAGCTCTACCATCAGAACATGTGGTCTCCAGGGGAAGGGAGGTCTGGGGGAGGCCCTGGCCTCTATGCCCAGGTGCAGAAGTGACCCTTCTACTCACAGAACACACAGCAAGGAGGTCTATTTGGGTGGGGCATAGATTTCTGTGACCCCTGACTGACTCTCTCACCCCACTCATATTCAGGGTTAGGATTTCATTCTCAGAGTGGTGGGAAGCCAGCCAGGGTTTTCACACAGTGTGACAAGATCTGACTTGTGTCGTAAAAAGTTTCCTCCGGCTGGAGCCGGAGTTAGCCCTGAAGTGGAGGATCTGGAGCTCAGGGAGCTGAGTGGGCAGTGGCTTGCGTGGGAGTTGGCTACTGCAGTCACCTCATATTTGTAGTTAGCGCCTGCAATTTCCACTTTGCAGGCTCAGCCAAAAAATAAATAAATAAAAATAAAAAGGGAGAAAAATGAATTCATGTAATTTTAAAAACTTTGAAAATGTACTTTGTGCCTGTCCTCTTTATTCTACACTGATGATTGTACACATTTTTATACATATATTGCCTGACAGCCTGGACTCCTTGTTGATTTGAGAACCTCACTGTCATGGAAGAAATCCTCTACTCTAGTTCTATAGCTGGGATCCAATAATAAGAGTGGAGATCCTTGTGTCAAAGGGACTTTCTGCTGCTTCCAACATCCCAGTTCTCTGCCTCTGTCAGAAATACCCTTGGATGCAATATAAAGGCATTCTGGGCGAAGACTGATCCCCACTGGTCTGCAGTTCTTTATAGTTTGTAAAGTATTTTCTAAGCATTGCTTCATTTGAGCAGCAGAATTAAATCTGACACAAGATCTAATTCAGACCAAGGAACTCAGGAGCTCAGAGACTCCTTGGCCTACAGTATCCCGGAGCCCTGGAACAGTACGGAGTTGGAAATGCTGGCTTTGTGGCCAGTTTTAGATGTGTGATTTCAGCATTTTCCTCTATAAATTATGAATAAGTACACACAAAATTATTTTGAATCTCCAATAAAGCCATGTTGGTGAAAACATTTTGCAAACTTTGAAGCATGGTCTGAATGTTGTTATCCTTAGACTTGACATGCTGTTGAGAGTGTTTCCCAGGTGGTGCTAAGAGAATCCAGGTGGACAAGGGCAGATTAAGTGAATTTGTGTCCCCAATAGTTATGCCCTGTGGCTGCATTTAGACTATTTGAACTTAATCACCTGAATTATCTTCATTGCTTGGGTAGCTGCACCCATCATCTCCTGTGAGTCACATCCCTGGCCCTTAGGTCTGTGGGTGGGTGAGGGCTTAGGTGGAGATGGCGTGGTGAGTCTGTTCTGGATTTCACTGCAAGCCAGAGCAGTAGATGACCAAGGTTTTATGGAGATATGTGAGTTCCAGTTATGGAACCAAGTCTGAAGTGGTCAGGTGGGCCTTGGGGTGAACCAGAGGGCCTTTGCTCATCTGGGGTTGGGTGCCCAGCTCTAGTTGATTGATACCTTGGGAGGAATGTAGTGTATTTTTTCCAAATGTAAGATCGTCACATTTTTCATTCTCATGGCAGCTCATTGGGTGGCTGGAATGGGGCGTAAACCGTGGCCCAAGGCTTTGGGCGTCAGTGTTCCCATTTATAAATTGAGGATGGTACCACCTTTCACTGGGCTGTTAGGAGATCAGATCAGAAAACAGCAGGCCAGATCCCGCGGGATCTGGCCGCAGGAATCCAGCGGGCGGATGTCAGCTACCTGTGTTCTGTTGCTCCTGGTAATTCCCGGGCTTCAGAGGTTGTGATCTTGGTCCATTTGGGACCCTTCACCCACATGATTAAAAGGAATCACGGGGTTATGCAGGCCTTTTAAATTTGGTTGTCAAGGAGATAATATTAAGGGTTTTTGTATATTAGAAAAAGAGAACTAACTACCCCACCCCCCAACATCATGACTTTGAAAATGTTAGTGGAAAATTAAATTTCAGCAAAGATGAGTGAACTAGTGTAAATGAAAAATTTTAAGTTATCCAAAGTATAAACACGATGCTAACCGTCAAGGTGGCGTGGGGCGGCCTGATTGGGGAACACCATGGTGCTACCCTTTCTCTCGCCACATCCTCGTCAGCTTGGTAGGCGCCAGATCTCCGCAGGACTCGTCCCCAGCCCGCGGCTCCCCGCTGCGGGGGGCGGCAGGAAGGGCGGGAGCGCGGGGCTCGGAGGACACCAAGGTCAAGGGGAGGGCGAGCTGCTTCGCCATCCCTCCGAGCCGAGGACCGTGGGGGACCCTATGCGCCCCAGCTCGGCAGCCTGGGTTCTGCCGCTTCCAGCCGGGCGATCTCGGTTTGCGAGACTTGTTCGAACCTACTTCCCTCTTTGGGGAAATGGAGCGACCGAGACTGTCAATGCTGGGATTGGGGGCGCCGGAAGGAGAGAGACTGCGGCCTAACAGGGCGGAAGGTATGCCTGGGGCCTCTCAGCCTAGGGCAGGCACGTCGTTCAGTCAGGCAACGCTCCGCAGGGCCCAGGCTCGCGCGGGTTCTAAAATGAGGACAAAGCCCGCCCGGATCTAGCGTGCGCGCGCCGACGTGGCCAATAGGACGCCGGCGCAGGGTTGAGTGACGGACGGGCACAGCCAGTGAGCATGCCTCTTGTTGCGAGGTGGGCGCCCCGGCTCCGGCATTATAAAGAGCGCCACGAGTCGGCATTGTCAGGCGGCGGTACCGTGCGGGCCTAAGCAAGTCTTTTGGGCGGTGGGTTCCGTGCAGCGGTGGTCGAGGAGGAGCGCGCGAAGTTGCGGCAGCTCCGTTGGCGGAGGGAGGGGAGACCGGGCAGCGCGAGC